AACAGCTGAAAAACTGGGAGGTACCGACACTAGCAATGCTAGAAACCAAACCACAACACTCAAGACACGTGTTGCATAGTTTACGGTGAGAGTAATTGTTAACCGAGTAATTCAAACATCGGGTCGTCTCTCAAGAAAAGCTATTCGTAGTTTCGCTCACTACATAGTTGTCCAAGATCACAAAAAGAGAAAAAGGCCTAAACTTCTAATCAAGGAGATTGGGTTGATTAAACACTAATTTTAATTGAAATTTGAAAGCATTAGAATGCAAGCAAGAAAAACGAGAGCTAACGAGAAAAGATGGGAATTTATAGTAACAGGAGTCTCTAAGCTCAAAATAAAATGCAAAGAAATTAAGAAGAATATGCAAGCACTAAGTCCTAGATAATTAATACTAGCTTTCTAAATCTAAATGATAGAGCTTAAACAAAGTCTAACACTGATAAGCAAGTAATTAATTACTATAATCACTTAGGCAAGATATGTCGTCCCCATTCGGAGAGTGGGCTTGAGATTCGGCGTTTCTCTGATGTTGTCACTGCGTTTTCCTACAGAATGTGGTGGCGACTTAGGAAGGACAAGTCCTTTTGGGCCCAATACCTCCTGAGGAAATATTGCCCTGGTGGAGCTGCCCATCCTTGCAGGGTGACAGCCACTGCTCGGGATAGTCGATAGTGGAGACGGCTCACCATTGTTGGCAGACATGCTCAGAAGCACATTTTTTGGACCTTGGGTTCTGGGGAGGTTAGCTTCTGGGATGAGTGGTGGTTCGGCGAGGCTCCCCTTTCGAGTACTAGGTCGGTCACTCACCTGCCTTTCATGCAGGTGAAGGACCTTTGGACGGGGGGGATGTTGGGACAGAGATAAGATGGAGGATATTCTAGGTGAGGGTGGGGGTTTCAGTAGAGTAGAGATTGACCAGAACCGACAGATTCCAATTTTGGAGGGAGGTTTAGACGACATGAGGTGGAGACTTACATCTTCGGGTGCATTCTCTACGTCATCGGCCTGGGGAGATGTGAGCCTGGGCAACCGGTACCTCCTCTTCGGGACCATCTGGACCGACCTTCTCACCCCGACCATTTCCGTATTTTTGTGGCGTGTCCTATTACAGCGCATTCCCATTGACACTGTGATGCAGGCGAGATGGTTCTCCTTCCCCTCCCGTTGCCATTGTTGTGCTGAGACCGATACCTTTGGGATCGAGACTTTCACCCATCTTTTCATTGAGAGTGAGATTGTAAGGAGAGTGTGGGAGCACTATGCCAGATATACTCATATACCCCTACCCACTACAGACAACTTTTTTGAGCTCCAGAGTTTTTTCTCACACCGCACACACAGTAGACACGTGGACTTCCTTATTCCTTATCTGATCCTATGGTCCACCTGGACAAAAAGGAATAATGAGAAGCATATGGATATTATATTTTCTTATGCTCACATCATTTTTCAAGTTGACAGACACCTCTCTCTCCTCACCGCACTAGGTAGACTCACGACGAGAGACTGGACAGGTTGTACACCACCCCATCGTTTAAGGCCACCACCTCCTTTACCTATCCAGCACCCACGCCCCAGGACCGTTGTTTGGCTGAAACCCAAGTCCCTTGGGTTAAGCTAAACACAGACGGCGCATTCGACAGACATACCAGAGCTGCTAGAGGAGGGGGCCTGATTAAGGATCATGGTGGAGCACTCATCTCTGCCTTTCATGCGCCACTACGGGCCTCCTCGAGTTATGATGCAGAGATTCAGGCGCTCCAGATTGGTCTTGAGATTGTCGCCTCGATCTCCTCCCATATCTGGATAGAGATGGATGCTGCAACTGTCATCACACTTTTGACATCTGGCCACCATGGCTCATGGCAGATCCAACATCCCCTTATGCGCATCAGAGACACCTTCCGCTCGATCCATTACCAGGTCTCACACATATTCCGAGAGGGGAATCGACCCGCTGATTTCTTTGCTAGCATGGGGGCATCTATACCCCAGAGACGCATCCTTCATCCTTAGGACATTCCCTTTCGGCTTCGGACGCTCATTCCGATGGACCAGCTAGAGTACCCATCCTTCAGATTCGGACGACCGCCACCACCTGACCCTGACTAGACTTGTCGTTTTGGACTTCATGCCAGGTTATTTTGACCAGGCCGACCTCTTATGAGAACTTGATTTTAGATCTACACCGGATATTTTGTGATCCTTGTTCTTTTTTTTTTTTTTATGATGTTTTATGTATTTTCAACATTGATGTAGACCATTGACTTTTCAGCCCTTTCTGGGGCCATTATATTCACAGGTCTGGGGGTGTAGCCTCAACCCCCCATCCCACACTGGATGTTTATTAAAAAAAAAATAATCACTTAGGCAAGCAATAAAAACAAAAAGCTCCAAACTATCCCTCATTCATCAAGGAAACACTCAAAGTTACTTTGAAAAACATCATAAGCAAAAACGAGGAAAACATGGCTAGAAGCTAGTACACACTCCCCCTATCGCATGCTAGACGAGAATCAGAATAAAAATTTAAGAACTTGCATAATAACGATGTCACCAAAAGTGTCAGGAAATGATAGTCATAGAACTCCAATATAAAATAGAGAGAAAACTAAAAATGAGAGAACAATTCCTAAAGTAGAAAAGTGACAAATGAAATCTAAGGTGCTCCCAAGTCCCAACACAAGGGACTAAATGTACTTATAGTGTTCTTTTAAAACACACACTAGAAAAATGCACATTTAATAAATATAACTCGCAGCGTTGCTAAATAGGGTTTCTGGTCGTGGATTGTGGCTTTTGCACGGGCACGCGCATCGTCGCGAGCTTGCATAGGGATCGCGAAATTAGGATTGCGGAACGCGCAACGCCGCGAATCCTCGCCCCGATCGTGAATTGGTGGAGAGCTCGGGTCGTGCGCGCCCGATGTCGCGGATCCTTGCCTAGGTCGCGAATTTGTGGAGAGCTCAGGCCGCGCGCGCAACGTCACAGAAGTGCCCCGGGTCACGGAATGAGGCCTGGTGCGGGCGGCGTCACGAGATGGCCTTGGGGTAGCAATTGTCATGCTCCTAGGGACTTTGGTCTAGGTCGCGAACGGGCTAGTGCTATAAATTCCGCTCGATAAAGACGATACTCCCAACCGATCTTGTTCCATTACACCTACAAAACACCAGAATAAAAAAAAAAGAAAAGCAATGAAAGACGGTAAACGATTGTTTATATATATAAGCAATATCTTTTTTCTTTCTACGCTATTCTTGTCTTTAAAATAAAAAGATTAATCAAAATAGATTTATGGATGGAATCAAAAAGACATAGATGGTATAATCAAAAAGACATAGATGGTATAATCATAACCATAAAATACGACCCTAATCAAAATGCATACATTTGTCTCATACGCTATGGGGGATGGTGAGAAGAGATATATTTTACAACCCAGAGAGGCGGAGGTACCATTGTTTCTGGTACAGAAGTTCCTATAAAATAGATAATGCCTCTCGGAGGGAAAGTAGTTGCTTCACCCATATTCTGAAGTTGTGATGCTTTTCTTTTCTCCCTCTAACTATACACCTTGCTTAGATCTTCCCCGAGCGGATGGGGCATCGAAAGGCTCGTTGAGACCTGCTCACTCCACTGGCGCCAAAGAAAGGGGCGCAAATACGGCCCAAAAATGAGAATCTACCACACGAAATGACAAAAAAAAAAACGAGCAAAATGGACCGGCACGACACAAATAAGAGCCAACAAACGACGCGACTCGCCACAAAAAGCACATAAAAATGAGTACAAAAACACAACAAACAATTATACAAAAACTACAAAAACTACAAAGCTCCCAAAAAGGAAAATAAGTGATCCCACATGGATAATACCCACTCATACTCGGGCATATACAGAGGCCTACGACCCAAACAAATAACAAAAGATGTAACAACACAAAACAAACAAACAAAGAAAACACCTAAAACCAAACAAAAACACCAAAACTAGAGCCCTCCTCCGGAACAGGAAAAAGCTCCATGACAACCCCGCCACCGCTACCGAGAGCTCCCACTCAAAGGGAATGCAGACCTAACCAAGAACCGAGACCTGAAACTGTAGAAAACGCCTGACAAGATCCGATACTCCGGCCACGAAATTCTCCCAGGTAGTCCCCCACAAACCGTCAACGGAGGTCAACCCCAAACTCACACTACCCCA